CTGATCTGCTTGCTGGAGGGGAGGAAGGTTCTGTACAGGGTTCTGGACGGGCTTGATCCATGGTCGAAGACCAACAGCATGAGGGTCAGCAAGACTAAAGGATGGGTCCTACGCTTTCATCAAAGCCCCAGGCAGTGCTACAGGCTGTGGACAGGGTGGCTGGAAAGCTGCCCAGCAGAAAAGGACATGAGGGTGCTGGGTGACTGCAGCTGAATATGAGCCAGCATGTGCCCAGGTGGCCAAAAAGGCCACTGGCATGCTGACCTGTATCAGCAGCTGTGTAGCCAGTAGGATGGAGGGAAGTGATTGTCCATGTATACTCAGCATTTCTGAGGCCACACCTCAAATCCTGTGCTCAGTTCTAGGCCCCTCACTCCAAGAAGGTTGTTGAATTGCTGGAGCATGTCTGGAGAAGGGAAACAGGACTGGTAAAAGGTCTGGAGCACAAGCCCTGTGAGGAGCAGCTGAGGGGGCTGGGGGTATTTAGCCTGGAGAAAACAATGATCAGGAATGACCTCATTGCTCTCCACAACTGCCTGAAAGGTGGGTGGGGTCTCTTCTCCCATACAGCTAGTGACAAAAAGAGACAAAGGCTCAAGTTGTGCCAGGAGGATGTTTCAATTTAATATTAGGAGAGGTTTCTTCATAGAAAGGGTTATCAAACACTGGAACAAGTTGCTGAGGGTTGTGGTTGAGTCACCATCCCTGGGGCTATTTAAAGCCATGTAGGTGTACTCTTAGGGATATGGTTTAGTGGTGATTCTGGCAGTGTTACGTTAACAGCTGGCTCAATGATCTTGGAGGACATTTCCAATCTAAATGATTATATGATTTAATCTGTCCCATTTATAAAATCTTGTTTTCCTGGTAAATCCTTAAAAGTGAAGCCTCACCTGTTGTCCAAGTTGAATTTAGCTGCAGAGTTCTAATATTTGTTCTGCCATTTCCCTTGGCCTGCCCATTCAGCTGGTGGAAATGGCAAGAGAGTAATTCAGTGAGAAAAAATGAGGATGTTTTTGTGGCTTTAGAAAGCTGTCTTGGCTTCTTTTTAAGAACTGAACAGCAGAATTCAAGAGTCAAGGCGCTGCATGTAAATGAGCAGGAGGAGTGTGGAAACTGTGATGGTCAGAAATAATTTGTTTAGTTCATACTCTGCAAAGCTGTAGGCCAGCCTATGGGGTTGTGTGTTTGGGAAGGAAAAACTGCTTAGCCAAAGAGGAAAAGGGTGTTGGTCTTGTGAGACCCTTCCAAAGCTGCTCATTTTTAGAGGCAAGGAAACTTTCACAAGTCTGAGAAGGAGAAAGCACCTAGAAAGCAAGAGAACAGACAAAATAAAGATACAACACACCTTAGACTTTCATAAGCATTTTCTAAGGTGAATTGTGACTTGACCTCAAAATATTTAAAGAAAATCCTGATTCTCCCTTTTCTTCCTTTAAAAATGCTTGTCCCATTTTCTGAAATTTTTCAGTATAATTGACAAACATTTGGTAAAAATATGTAGGAAATACAGTTTTCCTAGAGAGTATCTTAATGTCTTGAACTGAAAAAAATTTCCACAAAAACAAGTTGTGTTTTTTTTCTTCTCCAGAGAGTCTAGTGTATGCATTACTCAGGTATTTGGATGTGCAGTCTCCCCATTTTTATTTAGGTGCTTCTTTAATACAGAGTTGAAACAAAACAGAACTATCCAGCTCTAGGCTAAAATGCACCAAAAGGATGCTTTTTGCCACATTTACTGTCTTCTTTTCAGTTTTCTTTCAGTTCCCTTCTGTTTTGGAATATCAGAAAAATTAAGTATTTACAAAATTGAAATCACATGTCTCTATTTTGATGTGGGGTTGTTGTGGTTTTGGTTTGTTGTTTTTTTTTTTTTTAACTCTTTTTGGGCAAATTCCTGCACAAATTCTCTTAACTGGGGATATTGTTTCATCACAGTGAGCCATTTGAAGAGTGCTACTGCAGAGGCTGCTGCACTGGGTGGATTGTGTGATGTCCTTCATTTAATTTAAGCTTTGTTTTTCATTTAAATGCTGTGAGCTGGATGAAGAGATATATTTTGCATTAAAAAGCACACAACTTGTCAAAGATCCAGATCAGCATAGATCTTCTCTGTGTGTGAAACCTTTTTCCATCCCCTTGGGCTGATTTGTTAAACAATTTTTTGTTCACTGGGAGATCTGGGGCATTATGCTGTGAATGTTAATATCAGGGATACAATGCAAATGAGACCTAGATGCTTATGTCAATTAATATTCTCAATAGTTTGATGAATGATGCTGTTGCCCTTCATTTCCCCAGTTCTGGTAGGGGTGGATTCTGGTTCAATTTGCAATCTGGAAGGCGTTTGTTGTGTCGTAGTGCAACAAGAGGCAGAAATGAATGCAGATTCTGCCACCCTAAATTCCTCCTCACCTGTTAGGCTCAAAATCCCACAATGGGATAAGGTTGATCCCTGTTTTCCGATTACAGGGGCTATTTTCCTGCAAAACTTGTATTTGACAGAGATGGAGGAGATCTCTCTGTTGGCTTCCTTGCACAGCACTAAGGCTACTTGACTTGAAGTCAAGAAACCTAAATTATGCTCTTGGCTCTGCGGCTGAGAGCTTTGGTACCGGTTGATTTGTAAGAAGTAGTAGTTTTGCTAACTGGAAGCAAAAATCATAGTGAAATAGTGATCAGCACAGTGTCATGCAATGACTGTGGGTATTGTTGTCATGATGGATTCATACTATTCCTGAAAGAAGTGAAACAAAAGACCCTTTCATTATTGTTTTGTTAACTGTAGTTAATGGTTCTCATTCGGTAATTTTAAAAGTTTTCAGGAAACTTAAGAAGTAAAGATTGGTAGGTGAATGCCTGGAATAGGCTTGTTGTGCTTTGTGCAGTATTTGCCAGTACTGTTTCAGATAGAATTTGCAATTTATAGCGACCAAATGGTATAACTTCTGGGTGAAATATGATTAAGAAAAACTTTAAACAATACCTTGTCTTTTACATGAAGAATGGTTTGTGTTTCTATATAGTGACATTCAACTTAACATGGTTTTCTCTTATTTATCTATGAAAAACAAATTTTTGGAAATGTTACGCTCAATTTATTTTTTCTTTAGATCTTTTTAGGCAGCCCTTCAGATTGCTGTTTCTACATGCACTATGTAAAAAAAAAAACAGTTGCTGACACAAGGTCTGGTAATACACAAAATCACAGAGTGATATGGGTTGGAAGGGACTGAAGAAATAAATTAATTCCAAACCCCCTTGCCATGAGCAGGGACAACATTCACGTGACCAGGTTGCTGGTGAATGTGTTTGTTACCTTGCCAATAGAGCAAAAGTATTTTGCTAATATTTGCTCTTGTTGTGTAATTTGGGTGAAAGCAAACCTTATATAATGTAACTGATAATTCTCCATTAGAGGGAAGAAGAAGAAAGGATTGTCTGTCTCATTTCTATGTGAATTTTTTCTTCTCCTTCAAAAATTTCCATTCCATTGTGGAAGTATACTTATGTGTTGAGTTTGTGACTTTTTTTCCTCAACTTCCTGCATCCTGGTAATATAACCCATTGTGATGTTAGCAACAATTTTTGATTTTACTGGAATGTAAAAGTAGAATTGATGATCTTTTAACATGGAGCTGTACCTTAAATTTCTTCTTTGCCCCTAGGAGGAAAGAGAAGGAGTTTCTGCCATTGTTGAAGAGCAGTTATCTTTTACTTCTAGTGGATATCTTTTGCATACCATTTTTTATGACTTCTCTTTATTTAATTTGAGCCATTCATCATTCTAGGAACATGTTTCTTGAGGAGGATCTGTTGCTGTTCTGAGAGTTGCTGTATTGGTGCAGGAACCTATATGAAAAATAGGATATGCTTCTCTGAATCAGAGCATTTAGTGGAAAAAAATAAGGTACTTTCTTTTGTGTGAGATGTTGGCTGTATTGTGAATGATCCATGGGTAAAAGTAGTTTTTTGTCATTTTCCTGGATCCTAATCAAAGGTCTGCTGTATCATACACAGATAATTCATGAGAACACATCAATTGGAGCCTTCTTCCAAGTGGCTTCCTCACTGCACCAGAAAGGCCTGGTAAAGGTGCTCTTCCTCTTCAGTCACATTTCTCTATGTTAAGAATACTTGGCAAGCTCTGGCTGTGTGGCTTGTGTTGCATCATCATAATTTTGTAGACATCTTTAATAACCTGGGCTGTGGCATTCAGCTGAAAAAGAGGAGATTGTCATAGCACACTGATATATAGATTGCTTCTTATTTCACTGAGCCTCCACTCTATACAGATGGCATTTCTTTAGTGTTGTCCAGAAACTGAAGTGGATCAGGATCTTTGAAAGCCTGTAAATCTAAGGCCATCCTTTTTTGTCTGTCATAATTGCTTTTATGAGGGCAGGTGAGATGCAGGGGCAGTTTTTCTGATAGTGTACCTGGTCTTTGAGACCAGGAGTACTTATATCTTGATGCAGCTTTGGACTCCCTCAACGTGGCTGTTCCTATCAGTGGCTGGAAAAGTCCTTGCCCCTGTGTCTCTCACAAGTGGATAGCTTTCATTTAAACTTGAAATTCTTGTTTAGTTTTGCTTTAGGGAAAACCTAGACTCGGCTTTCAGGGTTTCTATGCTTACATCCATAGTAGCATATGAATGAGGATAGGAAAAGTTGGAGGGCAAGGACCTATTTTTTTTTGTGTTGCTTCCATAATGGAGCCAATAAGACTGTTTAGGGTATCCTTTCTGCTTGTTTGGACAGATTGTGTCTTGCTTGTATAGATTATGTGTGAAAAAAACGCCCTTTTTCTTCCTTGTTTGTAGAGGAAGAGATCAAAACATAGTGCTAGGTGTAAAACTTTGACCAGAGTCAGTGGAGAGATGCAGCCTGCTGCTGTAAGATTTTGTTGTGATGTTCTGAGGTTGCATGGGTCTTTGAGAGCTCTCATTTTCTGTTCACTTTCCCCAGTTTATAAACCAGATCAGCATGCTTAGTTTTCTTTCCCCACATGATTCACAAATATTTTATTGTCAGGATAGACTTCAAGAAAGAACCAGAATATGTATCTGTCATTGGAATTGAGCTTGCTTTTAGTAAGAGTTTGAGTTTTAAATGTCTGTGGATAATAGGTGTGATATGTAAAAGGGTTGTAATTGCCTTTATAATCTTGTGCTAGGAGTGAAGTTAGATTATAGTTTCTCTTTATAGTTATTTTTTTGTGAAGAGGCATGCTGGTCGAGTGAAAGGACAGTGTCTGGGACAATGCTTGTTCAGAATTTTTTTCTATCTCAGTTTAAAAGGATTGAATTTAAGTATTCCTATTCTGGAGATACTGTTTTCCTTCAAAATGGAGCATCCAAATGCAAAAACTTGCATTTTTCTGTTAACTCTGGTCTCTTAGTTTGTTGCAATGTTCCTAGATTTCCTGTTTATTTTTTTAAATTTCTTTTCAGAAAAATTTCATTTTAATTTTTGGTGGAGGCTGTCCATTCATTTTTTCTCATTATGTTCCTTTAGAGGAAAAGGATAGTCCAAAGCCAACAGACTCCTTGCTGTTAGAACTGCTACAGCTCATGTTTCACAGTTTTTATTCTCTGTCATCATGGTATTTTCTTCTCAATTGGAAGTGCTTCTGAAGCTTTTTCGGGGCAAGTGGGAGAAAAACAGAAAAGCTAAGAAAACAAGGGTAGAGAAGTCTCAAAGACATTCTTACATTTGTTTCTTTTTCCTGCCCTTTTTGTAAAAATAAATAAATACCAGTTTTGGAAACTGTGAATGTGAGTCTGTTGAGAGGAATGTGCTTTTTAGAAATGCTGATGGAGATTCTAAACTATTTTGATGGAACTCTAATAAAAGTCATACTCATGTCCAAATGGGTAGCCTGAGTTGGGGGCTGGTGTCATTGTGCTTCTCGTGGATCCCCTTGGTGTTCACTCCTGGCAGCTCGGTGATGAAGGTGTAAGACTCTGTTCATCTTAATTCAGCTGGCTAGTGCAGAGGTGGGGTCACAGTCAAAATACAGAATGCTGAATTCAGTCTTCATTTTGAATGGAAAAATCTGAACACATGCATTGTCCCACTGTAGTTAACACCACTACCCACTATTCTCCCTAACTGCATCCCCCCCACCCATAAAAACCCCAAAACCAATAAAACAACAACAAAAAAACTCCACTAAAAATGAACAACAGAACCCTTCACATTTTCTGAATTAATACTCTTTAGCACTTAATATTGCTCTACTAGTGAAAAATGGAATCTATGCATGGAGGTTTTGGTTAGCATTGTGTACAAAACTTGGTATGTATTCCTGTCTGTTAACTGCCTGTGAAACTTACATAAAGTCTAGGGGAAAAGTTCATTTGAGGCTTAAATTTCACAGCATTCACGCAGCATAAATGGAAGTGATAGCTTGACCTATTTTCCAATAAAGTTAACCTATCTCTTTGGCTGTACAATTAGTTTATTGTTAGATGATGCTTTACTAAATGTTTGATGGAAAATGCTGTTATTTGCAGTATTATTTTGTATTTATTTCTCCTTTTTCTTGCTGGAGCCAAGCCCACATAGTCCTGTAAAATATTATAGACAGTATATGAATTTTCAGATTGCCTGCACTGTGCTTCTTAAGCCTCTTTTCTTGTAAGTTTAAATTAGGTTATTGGTGTGGTGAACCCCTATGCGCTGGGAAGAAGAATAAGGTGCTGCATAATGATCTGTTTTTGACACTTCTTTTAAGAACAAACAAACATAAGATTACAGCACTGCATTTTCCTGAATCTCTGAAACCAGGAGTCAGTTAAACTCACAGTACATTTCCTTGCTGTGGTTTTGATGTGTTTCTGTGTGAAACTGACGGCAGGATTTGTTCGAGTATGTAGGCCACTATTGTATTAGAATTACATAACCGTGTTGAGTGGTGGAAACAGATGAAAAGACGGGATGTACGGCGTTCCCTCACAGATTATATCCTGCAACAATGAAGACAGCTCAAGCTCTGCAGAGAATGTGGTCACATGCTGTCAAAAAGTTGGGGATTTTGAAAGGGCACGTGAGTTGCTTTTTGTTGCATCTTGCTCCACTTCTTTTCTTCCCCTCTGCCCCTCATACATCCCTCCCCTCTCCAACTCACTTTTATAGATTGTTGTGGCAGGTCTTCTGGTTTTGTTCTTCTTTCAGCATGAATGAAGTTGTCTTCAGTGATCTCTCAGTAGCAAGTAATTGTGTAAATCTCTTTATGACTGTCAGAGCTGCAACAGCTGCCTGTTTGTTGCACACTGACAATTTTAGCATTTTGACTAGTTTCCTGCCAAACATTCTGCTAAACAGTCTATTTAGAAAGCACCTTTCATTTTAGTATATGAGCATTAGACAGATTTAAGCAGATCCTGACTACAGTGTTCTAATTAGAAATGGACTGTAGTCCCTAATGAATTTAGACTAGCTAATTACAATAATTTGCATTTAATGCAGGTAGCCTGTTGTCTGTGTGAAACCTGGGTGGTAAAACAGTTACTGCTAGTAACTGGAGGTGGGGTTCTTAACCATTGTGCCTGCCTTTTTCTCTCCAGTGTTTTGGTGTGCAATCTTGCAGTGAAACTGCGATCCTGTAAGGAATGCACAAGCTGCTCAGGATCCCTTTGTGTTTCCTTACAGATGAAGTATGAAGAAATTGGCAAGGTGATGAAGGCTTTTCATAACTCATCACTTGATGCATTCAGAGGAGAGTCACATCTCTAAATGTGGAGTACAGGAATTTCGCAATTCGGGTGGAGACTTAGATATTAGATTTGATCAAGTCCCCGACTGATGATTTGTAAAATTTGTAGTCTCTCTCTCCCTCTCAATCTTCTCTGCTTCATTACTCTGACGGTATGGGTTAGCATCATGATAATGGCAAGCAGCAGTACATTTTATAATGTTAAAGAGATTATTGTTTAGAGATTGTTTTTGCCTTATGGGCTTCCAAAATGACCATTCAGTTCTGTGAACTGTGTTGCAGAGCCTGCATTTTTTTATCAGTGCAGCAGTAGTCGTGTTGTCTTGGTAATTACATTGTACAAAATCAGCTTTGCAAGTACATAGTGTGCTTTCCTTTCCTGATGCAGAGTACAGCAAATGGGAGACAGTTTCCCAAGGAGCAGTTTAAAAAAATTGATTATTTTAACAAATACTTGTGAATTTAAAAGTTAATTGCTTAACTGTCTTCTGTTGAATTTTCAGTAACCGTTTCAAGGTACAAATAAACCCCATAAATTTACACAGAATTTACCTGAAACAGTCACTGATACTATGAGAATCTTTTTCTAGGCACAAATGAGATGATACTATGGGCTTGGCATCTTGCAAGACCTTAATTTTATTGTCTGTAGGCAGTAGTTTCTCTTTCATTATTACTATTTTTTTTTTACCAGATACCATAATACTTATTTATCAGAGTAAAGTAAACTTAACTCTGTAGGCTTATGATGCTTTGGTTTACTACCCAATATATCTTTCCACTTGTGCACATGGTTATACTTAAGCCACTGCTCATGGAAGGCCTAGTTTTCTGGAAGAAAATTTCTGTAACTTTCCTGTTTCATATCCTTACATCCCTGATACCTTTACAGTGCTTTCCTCAGTCCCTTTCCTGCAGTGTTGTACTGAATAAGCAGTAATTTCTCTGGCCTGTCTCTGTCCCCATGGGTGGAAAGCTCCCCATGAGTGCATTCTGCCTGCTTTACTCTTGCACCTGTGCAGAGCTGGCATCTGTTATTGGCTGGGATGTAGTGTTGGTAGGAGCAGCATACAGTGCAAACTGAATTTAAGTGATGTTTATGTTACATTTTTTTACCAAGAGGAGGATGGAAAAGATTTTCCATCTTCTGTCCTAGCTGCTTGTCCTTTGGATTTTACCCATCATTTGGTACTGACTTTCATTCCTAAAAGTATATTCAGTGAAGTCAGATGGAATTTAAATGACACTGAGACCCCTCTTCAGCACAGGCTCATTTTTTGCAGAGCTTAAAAATACATAGAAAAGCAGGAGTGTAGGAAGGGTCAGTAGTAGGCAAGCTGTTCCCTATATGCCGGGTAAGCAAGCCTAGTCACTTCCTAGTCACTGCCATTTACAGCAGCATCACAGCAGGTCGAAAGAAGAGCTTGATTAAGGAGGAATTTTTCACTTGCAGCAGAGATTCTCTGTGTAAGGGAATATATCGAGTGAGTTCAGTTTCAGATAGCTGAAAGCTTAGCTGGTTAAATGGCAATGCCAGATAAAATAATTTTACTATATGATTCGGCACATTCAACACTGACCCCAAGACACATATGTTTCAATACTAATCGTTACAAACACATTCTTATCTGACCTAGACAAGACAAAATTTTAAAACTATTACTTACATGTATTACTTTTAATATAAGCCATCATCTCCTACATCTATTTCTATTTTTCTTTTTAATTAGACACCAGAGGCTCTGGAAAGTGGAAAGCATTGTTCATTTTCTGGCAGAACAGTGGAAATTTAACACTATTTAATTTAACACTATTTTTAATACTATCAGTATTGTATAGTTCCTGGTAAGAATGCTGAATGTTTTGCATGTTCCTTCAGGATCTCTGAGCAGGACTTACTTTTGCTTTTCAATACAGTGAATGTGTGATGGAAAATGTAAATCTAGTTTCTCTTTGTGGTGCACAGAATCAGCTGGAACTATGCAACAAGGTTGTTTTTTCTGCATGTGAGAAATAGCATCTATAGCTTGCTGAACAGTTGTGTACTGCCAGAAGTCTTACTCTGAAAATGCAAGGGATGCCTTAAATTACAGGCATACCCTTCTTTTGTCACTTCTCTGTCTGATGTTCTGTGAGTTTAGCTGTCATTACTCCCTGTGATGCCTTTAAAAAGACCATTAAGTCTGAACTGAGTTTCTGTCTGAGATTCAGTATTCTGAGATAAAGGAAGTCCACTTTCAGTAAAAACAAACAAAACCTGTGGCTTGAGTATGTGCTTGCACATACTAAGGCAGCGCCTGGATTTTTCTTCTGCAATGGACACTTTCCATTTTGAAATGTTTTCAGTGTCATTTTTCTGCAGTGCAGTGGCTCATTTTTCTCCTAGTTTTACCCTGAAGGGGCTGGCTGTGTACTATATGATGCAGCATTGCTGGGTGATTATTCTGTATTATATTTTAAGCTGTGATGTTGGTAAGATTTCAGGTTATATCATGTAAGATAAAAGGGATCAGTTTTAACTGGAAATGTGGTAAAAAAAGGTGTCTGAGCTGTGTCACAGAAATGGCTATATCTGTACTATATATTGATATATTGTGTTTTCCTGTAAAATTTGATTTCTTGATAAGAACCTAAATATTTAGCTATGTAATTCATAGTGGACAAAACATTTTGTTAAATCCACATGAACAAGATGCAAGAGATCTGAAGTCTAGTTCATTTTGAAGACCCCAGTTTCAGGTGCTAGTCTTACTGCATATGGGGACAGAAAGGTCTTCCATAAGTATTTGATGTGATATTTGAATCAGGGCTATAGAATGCTAGTTGATCTGAATTAAATGCTTTTGCTGAATAAGGATTTTCCAGAAAATCAGAATGAGATGTTAAATCAGTGAAATGTGAAGGCATTCTACCAGCCTGGACCTATTAATTTTTTTTCATTTTTAAAGAAAAATTGTCATTATTTAAAATATATTAATTTAATACTATTTCTCCCAAAATATTAGAATATGCAAAATATTTTTAAACCTGTGTTTTAGTGGGGTATTTCACATTCTAATTTGAATAGTTATGTGGTATGTGTTTTATTAATTGGTTTCTGTGTGCAACAGGCCCCAGGCATGGAAGAGCTGATATGGGAACAGTACACAGTGACCTTACAAAAGGTGAGTGACTGCCTGTTATATTTTTAGTTTTCAAATATTCAAGCACTGGTTTACTCTGAATATGTTTCGCAATAGATATCATTAGCATGTCTGAGTCTAGAATAGGATTAATTCATTGTCCAAATCAGATATGGTTTTTATTTTAAAGCTTAGTTGCTACTCAAACAATAGTGCAATTCTTTAATGTTAGAAGTAAATTCAATTAACAATTTAAGTGCCGTATTTACTGCTATTTAGTCTTTCTAATGTCAGTGTGATATACCACATGTCAACCACTTAGCTAAATTCATTATTGGAGAGCCTTAGCAGTAAAGCAGATTGCTCTATCAAGCAGGTTGTGGTTGATGTCCAAGCTTTGTAATAATAACTGAACAGGATTCCACTGATTTTATTTTTGTAAGATACTTTAATATATACTAGTGTAGAATCCAAAGGAAAAACACTGTCGTAAAAACTCACAAAACAGGTGGACTATAGGTGTCAATTTAAAAGTTTTTTTTTTGAGAAAAGAGGAAGTGTCTCATCAAGTGGAGTCCTTTTGAATTAAAGAAAATAGAGCACTTATGCCTGTGTTCTTTAATAGCTAGGCTGCCACACCACAGTAGCAGTGTGCACTTTGGTTTCAGTGGTGGTAGTCTTCCCAGCTGTTCTGATGATTTGTGTTCAGTGAGCAGCCTGCACTGAGCTGCTCTAGTTTTTTCACATCTTCTGCATTGAACTGAACTTGATGACCCAAGGTGAAATAAGGGATCTTTTCTACCTAGCTTGTTTCATGTGAGAAGGTATGGTTAAGAAGAGGTTAGGCTTTAGGTTACAGAGGTAGACAGGAAAAACATTGCAGAAGAAGATCTTAGTTCCTGTAATTTCCAGCATTTCAGATCTATGATATTGTGTAAAGTAGCATTACTTCTTTACCACAGAGGCAGACTTAGGCTACTGAGATGATGGAGGGCTAGTGAACTTGCTGTATCAACCACTACCATTAATTTTGCCATTACTTTGAATCTGTTGTTTTGGTGTAAAACATCAAACTGCTTCCTGTAAAGCTAAGCCTGTAGCAAGTGAAGTTCTGTTTTAAAAGAAAATCACGTTGCTGTTTTCCTCCTCAAAGAATAATCACTTACTGTCAGCCTTAGTGGAACACAAGGTGACACATGATGAACTACACATGCTGATTGGGTGTTGGGGGGAAAGCGTGACTTTAATTTGATGTATTACTTTGCCACTATGTTAAAATGTTTTGTTCAAATGTAGCATCATATGTAATTTTTTGTGATATGATATGTATGTTAAGTAGCTGATAAAATTAAACTTGTGTGTTTTTGTGCTCCCCTTGCTGTCAGCAGTTCAGTTATGCTAATAGTTCTCAGGTTTTGGTGCTATTGACACGTTTCCTTGGCATTCTGTGAAGCATTGCTTTGGTTTTATGACTGCTATCTTAAGACTTCTATGGATTTGTTATTTCTATGACATAACTTTATATTTAAAATAGTTGATTGTGACAGAGTATGGTTATATAGACAATGCACAAGTTCACTACTTGCTCTTTGTAATCAGCCATAAACTTGTTATTTTGATTGAGGAACTACTTAGTATTCATAATGAAGATGAGATCCTGGGAAAGCTATACTACTTTCCCAAGCATCATTAACTAAATAGATTTACCTAACAATGAATTTGGTGAAAATAACCCATGGGATGGTGAAGCAAAATGCAAGCAAATTTAATACGTTCTTTACTTAATTACTAACAACCATAAGGCTGTAGAGGTTTTGGAAGACAGGAACTTGTCATCTTGATACATGGATGTGTAAAAACCTAATCTTTCTTAAATCTAGAGGTACTGTGTGTTTCTGCAGCACTGTGCATGCAGCTATCATATTTCAACATCTATTTAAGAGTGCCATTACGAGAGTATTCATGTTCCTCTCTCTTCCCACAAATTTCTGTCTATGTATTCAAGTTTTATTGTATTTTATTTTATTGTAAAGGATTCAAAACGAGGATTTGGGATTGCAGTTTCTGGTGGCAGAGATAACCCTCATTTTGAAAATGGTGAAACATCAATAGTGATTTCGGATGTTCTCCCAGGTGGTCCAGCAGATGGATTACTTCAGTAAGCACTCTTTTCTTTGTCTGGGATTTTGAGGGGCATGGCTGTAGAATACATAAAACCTTTAGACAGACATGACTGAGATCCTGGTGATTTAATCACTTCAAGATTTGGTGCGCTCTTGAATATCTGGAGGTCTCTTTAGAAAAAAAGAACCAAAACAAGTAAACACCTACACAGAGGTGTTTGTTGCTCCTTGCATTGTATTGTGGTGGTGTTGAAGTCTTTAACAGTTAAGTATGTTTCTTTCAATGTTGTATTTTCTTTAAAGAAACAGTAGAAACAGTTCTAGTATCTTAAAACATCCTCCTTGTTCCTCCACCAGTAAACACATTGTGTGATCAATCATTAGTTTCCAAGAATGACTTAAGTCAGCCGAAATAAGGTTTGCTAAATGTTTATTTTATATCTGAAAGAAAAATATTATAGAAATAAAGAGCTTCTGTTGTTCTTCTGATACCTTCATCCTTGGTGAGCCAGCATCTGTCATGTACAAACAATCTGTAGGCTGAGAGTTTGTCCTACATCAGTTTTTCATCCTTTGATCTGAAATACCTGATGAGGAATAGACTATTTGGAAATATACCAAATAATTGTGCAGCAGTAATAAATCAAGAGAGTAGATTATGTCCCTTTTGCCATGCATTTATTTTTGATCAGAAAATGGCATGGTAGTTGTTGTTGAGTAACTAAATAAAAGGGTAATTGTAACACACATAACAAATCATTTTTAACAGAAGTGCACAAATACTACATTTTATAGCAGTGACCTCTGCACACCACCACTATCATCCATCCTGTTCTGTAATCACCTGTGATTTGGGAATGAAATCATGTCCAGAAATTATGAAAGATCATAGGTAAATTGATAATGGCAATGGAATACCAAGATATTCAGGCACTTTCAGACAAAACACATTCAGAAGAAAATTAAGGCAAAGCTTTTCCTCCAAATCAAGGAATATAGGTCTAACCTTCAGAGTGGATGGGCAAAACCATCGTGTCATCTTTTGTAGGGTGAAATGAGCACATGTAGATTGACCTCTTGGCATAATATTGAAGCATTAAGTTGAATAGTAGCTTTGGATGTATGGACTGTCCAGAGAGCTGTTTTAATTCTTGCATAAATCTGGATGAAACTGATACTGGAATATAGCATGTTGTTCTGGCATATTCATGCACTAAAAGAAACTGGAAGGGTATGAAAAGAGGCACAAAAATCATTTAAGAGTTAGAGTGCCTTACGAATGGAAGCTTAGAGTATATAATCTTCTTATTCGAAAAGAAGATTGTGATGTGATTTGATTATAATGACGATAAAATAGTTGGTACCAAATATTTATTTTATCTAGCAGAAAATGTCAAAGTAACCAGTAATTTGTTGAGCTAAGGTTCTGCCTGTAACTGGGTAGTCACCAGAATAAACTAATATAAAGAGTATGAGGAGTGGTAATTTGGGGTTTTTTTATCTCCTTCACTTTTTGCATTGAAATGCCTTTATGAAAGTTTTGGAGTTAAATTCATCAGTGTTATGGGGCTATTTCATAGGGAGTTGGATGACTTAGGTGTCAGTGGTCTATTTGATATGCAGGAAGTCTGAACAGAAAACTTAGTGATCTCAGCTGGCCTATGTTTTAGGCAAGGAGGACTTCTTGTGTGTTATTGGTTTTGTTTGTTTTTTTTGTATTCCTGATCACCTTTCTACAGAGTAGATGTGACATGAGCACCAGATTTTAAGAAAAATGTATTGCAGTTGTACTTGTGAATATTTGCCTAAATACTAGTATGGCTGCAGCAGTTTGAAGCTTTTGTGAAATTCTTATGTGAAAGAAGTCTATCACTAGGTGTGAAAACTCAGGTGTCCTAAAAGACCAAAATAAAAAAGTTTCAATACTCATCACAAGTGTTCTTTAAAAATCATTATGGCAAGGTACTTCAGCTGAACACAGTATATACACAAAGACACTGCTGCTCAATGCCTAGTTTTTAGATGTACTGAAGGCTGCTTCTGGTATTCACATATTGTAGAGTTAATATAGCAAACAGCGTTTGAAAGCAAAACTCCTTGTTAAACTGAATTAAATCCCTAGGTTTCCTCTGTTTAACAAAAAAAAGGAACAAAAGAAGAAATTTTGTTCTGCTGTTTTCATGGAGACTCCTTAAATCTTCTCTTTCCTTTTTTATCTTCCTTCCAATTTCCAGAGAAAATGACCGAGTGGTCATAGTTAATGGGACCCCGATGGAAAATGTTCTACATTCTTTTGCAGTTCAGCAGCTTAGGAAAAGTGGAAAAGTGGCCACCATTGTAAGTAAATTCCAAATATATTCAGTGTACAGAGGTATGTACCTGTGTAACCAGTCAGGATTTTGGTTTTGTTTTATAGAGTATTTAAAGTCACAAAGAAAAGCAGTCTTCTGCTGTATGCAAAGTACAAAATAAATAAAACAAAGACATAGTTTCTGTAGGTGAAACAAATGGAAATTAATTAACAGTATCACAAAGTTATCTTGTTGAAAAAATGAGAATAAAATGTTTATTTTATAATGTTTATTTTACTAATGAGTGGTACAGAATAGAAGTTATGTGAGGCAAATTACATTCTGCATACACAGATCTTGTCCAATAATAAATAGAATATTGCTCTTCCATTTTTCCCCAGCATATATTTAAAGCTTGAAAAATATTAATTTGTTCAGTTTCACATTCTGATCTTTGACAGGAGTTTGTTTGTTTGTTTTCTGTTGTACTGAACAGGTAGTGAAAAGACCAAGGAAAGTGCAAGCTGCTGCGCTGCAGAGAAGCCCCTCCCTTGACTATGAGGACAGAGCTTTAGATGTAATGGATGACCATGCAGAATTTGATGGCAAAAGTGCTCGAAGTGGCTACAGTGAGAGAAGCTGGCACAGTGGAAACGGAGGGCGCAGCCAGAGCTGGGGAAACAACCTGGATCAGAGCTATAGAGATGAGCATGACCGAGGGCGTAACCGAAGCAGAGACTGTGACAGGGAATGCGGCTACAGCCGCGATCGAAGTCGTGGTAGGAGTGTTGACAGGAGCTTGGATCGAGACTATAGAAGGGATCGGAGCCGGGGAAGGAGCATCGACAGGGATGCTGGCTATGAACGGGACTACAGAGGAGACTACAGCCCACCCAGTTACAGTCACGGATCTTTATCTGATCCGAGATATGGGAGGGAAATGAGGAGTCGTAGTCGGGACAGGCTTCATTCCCGCAGTCCTTCACCTGAAATACACCGCCAGCACGAGTACCTAGGACCGCAGGATCAGAATGCACCCATCAGTGTTCTCTTAACAAAAGGCAGACACAATGAAGGTGGGTATAATAGGGGAGGAGAGGAGTCAACTTCCAGTACAGCATGGGTTTTGGTGGGGAAAACAAGAACTGAATTACTTTCTACTTTTGCAGGTTAAGTGTTGACTTTTTAAACTGGTGATTTAAGTTGTTCTTTCATTCTTTCTGGCTGATTTGGGATGCTTTTTGCCCAGAACCTTGAACTTTACCTTTGAGCAAAGATTTGTTCACCCACATAATTTCAATCTTTTTAAGCCATTGTGTCCCTTGTTTTCCATTTTCTCTGCCCTTTTCTCCTGGTTCTGAGGGAAAACATGGATCTGATCATGATTCAGATTACATTTGGCACATCTACAAAAGAATTAGCTAGAAAGCGTAAAGAGTAGACTCTGTCTTTAGTAATACGGTTTGTTTGGTTCTGGTTATTAAAGAATACTGAAATAGCAGTAGGTGAAATCCTGAAATAGCAGTATTTCAGCCTTTCTTTGCTGAGTATTGAAGTGTGTAAATAAAAGCCAAAAGCTTGACCTTTTTTTCACTGTGATATAAAGATTTGTCCTGGAAAGCATATCTGAGATTAGGTTGTACATAAATTTCTGTTTGAGTTTTTTTTTGAGGGGAGTTGTAGTTTATTGCTGGAGGGGTTGGTTGTGTTTTTTTTTTTTCCTAATCTGCCTTGTTGTAATTTTGATAATTTTTTGCTAATTAAATTTTGTATGTGGGAGCTAATATCTTTTTTTTATTGGCTCTGGCAACCATCCTTTTTTCTCCTTCCTCTTCTTCCTCTGCATATCGTGTGTCCACTTGCAAAGATAGTGCAGATATGTATACAAATAAGGAGAAATATAAGCTGCATTTGTTAACTTTTATGTTTAGCTATACCGTAATAATCTCTGCCATTCATATGGATACTTTGCAGACTTGCTGAAACGTGGTGATCTTTTAAAGCAGGACAACATTCTTTTGTTCTAGGATGCATGTTTTTTGAGGATGTTGCCTTTCTTTTTAAGTAGCAAATATACTGACCCAAGTAACTTAGATCACAGGGAAAGAAAGGGGGGGGGCAAGGGAATAAAAGAAATTCCTTTGCCTGAAACAACCAAGGCATTTCCTGGAGTACAGATAGGACAGGGTCAGCATGCAGCAACTGATGAAAAGAAATACTTCTGTTAGTGCTTTTTGACCCTTTCCCCCCTCTATACCTTGCAAAATATGAATCAGAGAGAAGCTACTCTAGTACATTAATAAGCAGCTCCAGAACAAAGGCATTGTTTTGCTGCTGAAGGTGCAGACCAGTTGTCCAACTGTAATTGATTTGGGATGTTGCTTGTTCGTATTGTAATTGCAGCACAGATACAGGGTGAAGTGGGTTTACTAGGTCTACATTTTTTTCTTTTTTTTTCTCTCATGGTACAATGGTGTTTGATGCATGAACACTGTGTAGTTTTTAAAACAATGCATCCTTGTTCATATTTTAAGCCTACAGTGGGTTATTTTCTTGGTTCCAGAGTATGGACTCCGTCTTGGAAGTCAGATCTTCATAAAAGAAATGACCCATACTGGTCTAGCAACCAAAGATGGCAACCTTCATGAAGGAGATATCATTCTCAAGGTCTGTTCTAGTTTTACTGCTAGCAATTTGGCAGGCACTGGTTACAGTGGTTATTGTTGTAACCAATAACCACTAAGTCATGTTATAGTCAAGTTCACTATTAGACTTGAATACAGTGCAGACTTGTTTGTTATTGTTGTCTTTTTGTGTCCAGATCAATGGTACAGTGACAGAGAATATGTCTCTAGCTGATGCCCGAAAATTGATTGAGAAATCACGTGGGAAACTCCAGCTGGTTGTTCTCAGGGACCGAAAGCAGACACTGCTCAACATTCCTTCATTGAATGACAGTGACTCAGAAATGGATGGTGAGGTTTAACGTGCATCCAAAGTTCTGGACTCTGTGCAAGGACAAAATGGAGCTTATATTGTTTTGCTGTGGTAGAGTGGTATTAGGTTCTTTAAAAAAAGAATGAAACACAAACAAACCTAAGTAATACTCAGTTAAGCAACAAATTCCCTTACTTTAGATGAAAATAATTTCATAGTAACCATATAATTACATTTTAAGAAGGGACAGAGATAGAAGGACCAGTGTTGGTCTGGCAGAGTCTGTCTTACTTCTTGGAGCAAACAAATCAGTTTCTTTAATAAAAATTTTTAAAACAAGTGCTTTGGACTGGTCTCTCCTTCTGAGGACATAAACATTCATGGCATCATTCAAATGGAGGGAAGAAATGTCAGGACAAGAGGAAATTAAGTGACCCTGGATAACTGGTTTCTATTCCCAGCACCTGTTCTATATGGGTGTGTGAGCTGTATCTCTCAGCCTGATCTTGCTTTGGGAAGAGCTCAGAATGTTTGGGAGAGCAGGATATTATATTGTTTGGAACAAGATACTTGCTTTTCTGGTGTCAGAATATGGGGTGGAACTTCCTGTAGGTTTTACTGTGAAGTCTGAGGTGCAGTTCAAATCCAAAGTCCACTCTTGTTTTCTTTGCTGCTAAAGGGCAATGATGTTGGAACTGTTGATATGAAGGTGGTCTTCGGTTTGGAAACCTCCATAACACTTCAAATCAAAGCCTGGTAGCACTAGCTAATGCGTGTGTGGTATGCTCAAAGTAGTTATGTGATGCGAGCGTGTTTGCTAATAGTTGCATGAAACTTTCCTGAAGTATTTTGGAGGATGGAGGGATGGAAGAACTAAAAGGTACTTCTTGAATCTTTGTCAAATCCAGCTTGAGATGAGAGTGGGCTGAAATGTTCAGTGTATCCTGTATCTGAGAACTTCATAAATACACATGCTGATCAGGTGAGCAGATAACTAAAACAAATCCTGCATGTCTTCATTTGTCACTCTCTTTACAGATATTTCTGAAATAGAGTCAAACAGATCATTCTCCCCTCAAGATGACAGATCACACCATTCTGATCTAGATTCACATTCGTCCAATGAAAAACTGAAAGAGAAACCAAAGTAAGAAGTGTTCTCTATTTTTTTCATGCTTATCAAAGAAGTTATTCAAATATAAGCATTCTCACCTGATTTCATGACACTTTTGTTCCTCTTTCTTCCTTTTAGTGCAAAAGAGGATCCCTCCAGTAGGATGTCCAGAATGGGAGCAATGCCTACTCCATTCAAATCAACTGGTGACATTGCTGCTCCTGCTGTTACAGCTGTAGACTCAAACAAAGAATTGAAGTACCAAGATGACCCAGCAGGTCAGAACCTGAAGGTTTTGGTCACTTTTTTTTCCCCTTGGCCACAGAATGTTCATTCCATCAACCATGATGACAAAGCTGGCATGCTGTGCATGTCAGCCCCACCCTGACACACAGAGGAAGTTTGTCTTTGCTTTGTGGTGCTGGGAAGAAACACCTGATATTTTTTGATGGCAGTTGCTTATTAGAACTATCACTTGAAAAAAGCAAACACTCTACTAGAACATTTGCTGTTTGACTGCTGGCCTAAGCAGACAAATGAAGTCTGGTCTAGCTTGCCTTAAAGGGTTGAATATCCCGTTCCTGAACTTTTTTTTTCTTTTTTGAGAATTAAAAAAATAGAAATAAATTCATTTTGTCGGACATGCCTGATGTTTAAATCTATATTAATCTTTGGCATGGAGGGTTTGATTGCTATCTGATAGCTAGAAATTCCTGCTATTTATAACTTTTTCATATCTCAGTAACTTCTTTTGTTTGGGTTTGTTTTTTTTTTTAATTTAGTGCCTCAGCCAAAGGCAGTTACACGAACAATTCTTAAACCCAGTCCAGAAGATGAAGCAATATATGGGTAAGGTGGTACTTGCTGAGTTCTTTTGCACTCTGTATTCTTTCAGTGACCAGTGCATGATTCTTGGCTGCATGGGTTTGTTTTCTTTCTCCCATTTGGAGTGGTACTCCCTTTATAGCTTAATGCCAGGAAGACGTGACATGGCTTCTAACTGATGATATTTGAGATAACTTAGTTTTAGAAATATCTGCATGGAATCTACCTGGAAGGTATAGAACACCCTGTATTTCTGGCCTTGCATGGGAACATATGCAAGGGTTTTGTTTTGTTTTATTTTATTTATATTAATAGGAATTCAATTTACATATTTCCTTTGAGAGCTTCCAGATACAGAAATTGAAGGAATAGGAGTGTTGGAATTGTAAGGAGAAACCTTAAGTTTTGAAAATGTTCTGTAGCTTGGTGTGTTGTCTTAAATGAAAGCCTTTCTGGGTTGGACCCTGCATATGTTGTAATTTATGTGCAAATTAATCAAGCGATTATTTTGGTGAAGGGGAATTTATAATACAGGCTTAGGGTATTACTGAGAATGGCTGACAGATAAGTAGTGTCCTCTGAGTTGGAAGGTCACTCAGGCATTCAGCTTTTCTGACAGCAGAAAAGCTGACCCTAGTCCAGTAGTCCCCCACTGCAATGTGAAGGCATTTACTGTTAACATACCAGTAGATTATACTTGAAAGTATTTCTCATTACAAGAAAATTTGAAGACTTCTATCAAACATGTTACACGGTAAAGAAAATAGGTATCAGTTTAATTTGTATTACAGTTCATCAGATTATAGAAGAAAAAGCAATGAGTATGATTCCTCATAACTCAGTCTGTAGGGAACTACTCTGGGGAAACCTGACTGTTTCCCTGTTCAGTCAGGTCTGTGCGTGCCAGTTAGTCACTATTCCAAGCTCTTTTTCCACTCTGAAAAATTCAAATTCTCTGCTTCCTGCCTTCACTGAAGGGTAACTTCAGTAAATGTAGCCTATAGAGTGAAAGAAAGGAGATAAAAATGTTATTAATATGATATTGTTGAGGGGGTTGTTATTTTTTTTTCTTTTGGCATCCTAATATTGTTATTTGCTTTGATATCTGGCCTTACTTCCTTTTTCTGTTTGTAAATCCTGTAGTCCTAATACAAAAATGGTGAGATTCAAGAAGGGGGATAGCGTGGGTCTGCGGCTGGCTGGTGGAAATGATGTAGGGATATTTATTGCTGGAATACAAGAAGGAACCTCAGCTGATGAGGAGGGACTGCAGGAAGGAGATCAGATTCTTAAGGTATGAGTATGTGTCCCTGAAATGCAGATAACTTCTGTATACTCTCATTTGCTCCTCTTACTTGAAATATAGAAGAAATTATGATCTTAGGAATCAAATTATTGCAAGGGTGTATATGTGATGGAGGGATCTTACAGAAATGAGTTCTTGAAGGAGAATTTTATACCAGCCTTTAGTTTGTTTATAATGTTGTGGAAGATGTAGTTAAATATTAATCAAGAAAAATGCTGCAAGGTGGCACAATAAATTTTTTGTACAATGTTTCTTCCTAGTCTTGGAGGAGGAAAAATTGAGGCCATCATAATTTTCTTCTTCTTTCATCTTTCTCCAGTTTACTTGGGTTATAGTGATTTATTTTTCAGGTTTCTGATTTATATAATCTGTGCCATTTAATCACTTCATTCTGCTTTTTTTTTTTTTAATTCAATTGAAGGTTAATGTAATTTTCCCTCTACCTCTTCTCTTGCCCCTACTAGAGGCTGTTAAAATTGAAGAAACAATCTACCTATGTAGAACCAGAACATTTTATTTCAGGAAGATTACTGTTAATAGCTGGAATTAAATATTCACAAGAGACAATAATTTACTTTTGTATATATAGATAGATATAGATATACAGATATATGTAAAAATAATAAGGAAAGAGAATATTAAGATTTTTCAGATTAAATAAAAATCTGTGGTTATTCCTTTTATTGTTGATTTAACAGTTGTTGTGGATGTTTTTTTTGTTGTGTAGGTAAACACTCAAGACTTCAGAGGCATTGTTCGGGAAGAAGCTGTTTTGTATCTCTTAGAAATTCCCAAAGGTGAAACTGTGACAATTTTGGCTCAAAGCAAATATGAAGGTAGGTGCTTTAAAAAAAATGTGTGTATATCTATGAACCTTTTAAGCTGTGCTTTGTCAGTGAAACCACAAAGAATCTCTCTTGTGCTTATTTTTGATAGCATTTTAGCTTATTTCCTCTTCACTAGTTGAGAAGATAGTTGTGTTCTATACATACAAGGCTGCATGTGTGATGTGTTTTTCAGGATACTTCTCCATGTCTTTTATTATTAGCAAATAGCAACTCTTAATCCTGAAAAGTGGTAAGGCACTGCTTTTTCTTTTGCCTTTCTGTCTGTAGCAGCTGGGAGAAGATCAGTTGTGCCTTGGCAGTCAGAAGGGATTTGGTCAGCAGCAAATGGACAATTTTATTCATGAGCAGCTAAGGAGCAAGAAAATCTTCTTGCTTTCCTTTTGGGAGACGCAGCCTGCTGCAAGGCTGTGTTACCATAGCTGCCTTTTGCTCTGGAGCTGTAAGGGCTATGCACATACAAGTTTGGAACATGCCTGATAAGTGTGTGTAAGGGAATGTGGATCTGAGTTTTTACATCTTTCTGAGCAGATGCTCAGAATTTCAAAGCTGTATTTGCTAAATCACAGCTTAATCTTTCTTTCAAGTGTAAAAAGATATAAGCTAAAATGGAGGTCTTGTTTTAGTCTACAGAGACATCATGGCCTGTGGCAGAGGGGATTCATTCTTCATCAGGAGCCACTTTGAGTGTGAAAAAGAGTCACCACAGAGCTTAGCATTCACCAGAGGGGAGATCTTTAGAGTAGTTGATACACTGTATGATGGCAAACTGGGAAACTGGCTGGCTGTGAGAATTGGAAATGAACTGGAAAAGGGCCTCATTCCAAATAAGAGCAGGTAAGGTGGCACCATGTCTTCCTACCCATTGTTAGAAGTAAGATTTTTTTTTCCCTTCACCGTGTCATTTTTACTTCCTATGTCATATCTTTCTTCCTTTCTGTTCCCTTCTACAAGAATGAAAGAATTGTTTTGTCTTTATTTTTACAAGAATTGTACTATAAAAACTGCATATTTTAAAACTATGGCATTATGCAATGAGACAGTGAGAGAGGGTGGTGTTACCTACATACCAGGTCATTATTTACAGCACAGGCCTAGAGCTTCTGTCTCAGCAATCAACCAAGCTTTGAGCAGTAGCTGCTTCAGTTCTTCTTACAGAAAATGGGTGGTTGGTCCTATTTTTGTTTGTTTTTTGCTTTTTTACCCATTTTCTTCTTTGTCTGTTCACCCTCACAGAATCAAATCAAAAGAAACAAAAGACCACAATGAAACAAAAAAGCTAAACAAACAAAATACCTTCACCTTAGGAAGTTCATGACTCTTTGTGCAAGAATACTGTCGTGATTAATTTTTAGAAGAATTTAGTGCTTGAATTTCTTATGTATATCCTTGTGGATAGTATTTTAAGTATTTATTCTGAGGCAGGATTTGTTAGTTTGGGTTTTTTTGGTAGCTGTAGTCTGTATTTTTGTGTGAGATACTGAGTGAAGCACAGCAACATTTTCACTTAAATATGGTTTCCTAATCAAAATTCATGGGAAGGAATAATAACTGTTCAAATGTATACAGTGCATAAAACAATCAAAGTTAATCAGACAGAAAAAAACCCTAAAACCATAACCATACTGTAGCTGAATTTTTAGACTGTATCTTTTAAGTTCTTGAGTGTGGTTTTGATTTTTTGATGGAAGAAAAACCTCACAATTACATGACGCACACAAGTTACAAAATACACTTCTTGTGTGACTCCCTTGTCAGCTTCCTGCTAAGTACATTTTCTCCTTTCTGTGAATTGGTCTGACCAAACCAGCCTTTGTTTCTGTGCTCTAGTGATTTAAACTTTTGAGGCCTAATGGACAAGAGAATAGTGACAGTAATTTTTTAGGCCTTCAGTTCTGAGTTGCCCCCTCTCACCACCTCTTTGCATATGCATTCTTTTATTTATGCTTTGTAAGAGTTCAGTTTAAGACCTCAGGACTCATTCCTGCCCAGCAGCTTGTAGCTGTGGCAGGTTGGAGCATTGTTCTGACAATGTGTTTGCTCCAAGGCAAAGGCACCTGAATTTTTTTGTGTGCTTTTACAAAACTCTACTCCTTTCTGTCTATCTGGCAAATTATCTGTTGCAAATTCAAAATCCATTGGTCATCAGTGAAAGTACCCTTGCCCTCCTTAACTAGTTCTGAACTCCCTGCTTTCTCTGTCAGAGCTGAACAGATGGCCAGTGTTCAAAATGCCCAAAAAGATGGCTCAAGTGATAGGGCAGATTTCTGGAGAACACGTGGCCAGCGATCTGGAGCAAAGAAGAATTTGAGGAAAAGTCGTGAAGATCTGACAGCTATTGTATCTGTGAGCACAAAATTCCCAGCTTACGAGCGTGTTCAGTTGCGTGAAGGTAGGTGAGACTGCTTTGAGCTGGCTGCCCATTTATTGCTGCCTGCTTTAGCATCCAAATGTTTGGTCAGCTAAGAAAGTGATTTCTAACAACTTCTATGTTAAATTAGAACAACAGGAAGGGATGACATTTCTCTCAGAATGGAGGTTTCTGTATGCTACTAATAAGTCTATAAGAAAGCTTTTTTACCCTTTTAAACTGCTGTTGTTCCCTCTTGCCTCCAAAATACACCTGCCAGTTTTAAGGTTTAAAATGAAAAAGGGGCTGAAACAGCAGGGCTTTCCTTGTTTCCTTGGATTCTTCTTGGCTAACTCTGATAGTAGAGTCCATATGCCTGAGATCAACCTCAGTCTTAAATAGCACTTCAGCAGTAGGTTCAGAGCAAATACAACCCAAGTGTTTTCAACAGTCCAAACATAATCATGGCTCATGTGGTCTATCTCCATGACTGTAAACTACCTATATTACTTAGTGGTGAGCAGATCAAGCTGATTTTCTGGGTAGTAGCACATGGCAGTATTCTGGAACAAAACAAACAGTAAAGAGTATTTTAAAGGAGATCCCAGATGCCACGATGAAGACTTAACTCCAAGGATTGTGTTTTCACTTGCTTTGACATGAGCAGTAACATAGTTTTACATTTCTTTGCTTCTTCAAGCTGCATTTCAGTAGGTTTATCATTTGTGTCTTTATTCATACAAAACCAACTCTATGTAGGTTCATGGAGTTTTGATGAATGGAAAGATAAATGAAGATCTGTACATTTTCAGAAGTAGAATATTATAAATACAGTTTCACTAGAAGGAATAAGAAAGCTGTTCATGAAAACAGTCTTTTACTTTCTCAGCTGGTAAAAGTAATTTTCTCTATTATGTTCTTGTACAAACCTCTGAGAAACTGTTTTTTAAAAATGTATTTTTAATAACCTCAACTTAACTTTGCATAGTAACTGAAGGTCTTGTCTTTTATATATAAAACCAGTCTCATCAGATTTCTCTTTTCTCCAAATATTTTTCTTTCAGCTGGTTTTAAGAGACCTGTGGTGATATTTGGCCCTATTGCAGACGTTGCTATGGAGAAGTTGTCAAATGATTTGCCTCACCTGTACCAGACAGCAAGTAAGTTGTCCTCTTAGTGTCTTTTTTTCATCCTTAACTGAGAGAATGGATAACTTAATAATTGCAGCTGCCTGGCCACTCTAGATAAGCTAAAATGTTTCCTTTGCAGAGACAGAACCCAGAGATGCAGGTTCGGAGAAATCAACTGGAGTAGTGCGCTTGAACACTGTGAGGCAAATCATTGAGCAGGTAGGGCATTTCTCTGAAAATTGCTTATGCCCAAAGGCATGGTGTTTGATTTGTGTGCTCGAGTACTCAACTTTTCAGTGCATCTATTTCTGTAATAAGCTTAATGATAAAGCTGTTTTGAAGTTGTTCAACAGCAATTTTAGTATTTTTTATAACTTTGAACCTGATATTAGAAATTGCATTTTCCTTCTCAAGTCCATTCTAAATTTGGACAGAGGAGAATCTGTTTTAATATATGGTTTCTGAATTTGAGAGGCTTTATGTTCATGCAGTGTTCTTGTTGCTCTTAACATTCTAAATATGGTATAACTGTGTATAATATTCCGCAAGTTGTGCTCTTATTTGGACACAAATATCCTAGTATTTTTAGGATCCCATGTTCCAGTCACCTGCACTTGTTCCCACATGTACCACATTGACTGGCCTTTCTTGTTAACAGGATAAACATGCTCTGTTGGATGTCACTCCTAAAGCAGTTGACCTGCTAAATTACACCCAGTGGTTTCCAATTGTGGTCTTCTTTAACCCAGACAGTAAACAGGGTGTGAAGACCATGAGACAAAGGCTATGTCCTACATCAAACAAGAGTTCGAGAAAACTTTATGAGCAAGCAAACAAACTGAAGAAAACTTGTTCCCACCTCTTTACAGGTAAGGAAGAATTTTTTTTAACCTGCTGACTAAGAGAGTAGTGTATGTGACTTTGTAAATCTCAAGACATCTACTCATTACTCAGCATAACTCATGCAGGCTGGAACTAAAAGAGTGTGAAGGTGTGGTCATGAGTAATGCCTTCCTTGACTTCTTTCAAAGTTCTTTGTTCTGCCAAATTCTAATGGAGAATAAATTGTGAGCTGGTGTACTGCCATTAAAAGATAAGTGATTTAATAATCTTAGAAATGGACCAACAATAAAACAAAAATACTATGGTTCTGTCAATGATCTAAATGAAGTGGCTGTTTAACATTCTCACATACCTAAACCAAAAAGCGTTAAACAGCATGGAATGGATAAAGGATTGCATTGCATTTACCATGTTATATATACCTTTTTCTTCAATTTTTACAGCAACCATTAATTTGAATTCAGCCAATGATAGCTGGTATGGTAGCCTGAAAGATACAATTCAACAACAACAAGGAGAAGCAGTATGGGTATCGGAAGGAAAGGTAAGCAATCAGTCCATACTCTCTGAAGCTATACAAATGTTTCAAAGTATCTCTTGCCAGTAAAAATTGTTCAAATTTTCATTTGCCAGTGGTCAGTAGGCTAGACAAATAGTCAGTTGATGTATACCTTTAACAAACAAAAATTTCTTGTTCTTGTTGTAACACTTTGGAGCCCAACATCACTAATACCCGGCTAGGGGAGAAGGATGATGAGGGATGAACTTCTACAGGACTTTTTATAGCGATTCTTCATTAGTTTCTTTCAGTTCCATGAAGTCATTCCTAAGGGAATGTTTAGCCTGATGTTGAGTCTTAACTGGACTTTAATTTATTTAATCTTTGTTCCTTACTTCTTACTGACTTTTGCATAGATGGATGGCATGGAAGATGACGCAGATGATCGTATGTCTTACCTTACTGCCATGGGCGCTGACTATTTGAGCTGTGACAGTCGGCTGATCAGTGACCTAGAGGACACAGATGGAGAAGGTGGTGCATACACTGACAATGAACTTGATGAGCCTTTGGAGGAAACAAGGATTTCATCTGTTAGCCGATCCTCTGAACCTGTGCATCATGAGGAGGTGAGATGATTGGATTTTTCAGTAAGACTGAACTTCGGGCTTTCTGAAAACCCTTTATGTATGGCTTAAAAATTAGAGGGTTTATTTTTAAACAGCAGTTTTACTTTGCTTCTTATACTGTTTTAGATTACCCTGTGAAGAGGAAAATAATAATAGCTCTGCTTTTCTGCCTGAATTTATACATTTCTTAATGATGTCTCATGACCTTTAAGTTTTCAATTACATTTGCAGTGATTGTAGTCAGGTTGCTGGCAGTCTTTTGACTCCTGGTTACTGTTTCCAAAATTATGAACTTGAGACAGAGGAAAATTATTGAATTACTGGCTACTGCAGTGATTTTATCTCTTTCTTTCATAGAGTTTAAAAAAGTTTGCTCCAGAACCAAGAGCTCAGTTGAGAAAAGCTGGTAGCAGGGAGATCCTTAGAGAGCCAAGTCCACCTCCAGCATTCAAGCCTGAACCACCTAAGGTAAATTTTTAGAAACAAATCTGAATACAAGCATCCTCTTTCTGGAGAACTCTCCAGGGTGGCATATTGGAAAGAGCAATAGACCACTTTAAGTGTGGACACTATATTTTGAGTGTGGACAGAAGAAATTACTGAAAGTGTTGCAGGATCAAGCAGAAAGAAGTCTTACTGGATAACAGTTCTTCTCAAATACATGTGATCTCTAATATGGAATAAGAAAGTAAACTCCTTTTTGTATCTACTAGCAAACTGAGAGGCACTTTTTTAGCTCAGCGAGATCAAAAGTAAGCTAATCACCAGGAAAAACATATCTCATGGCTATTACCGTGAAGCACAAAATCAGAATCTACCACCTGGCTGTCACCATTCTGTTAACTGTTTGCTCAGGAATTATGCAAGAGGGAAAAAAATACATATACTCTAAATATTCAAAATACAGCTCAAGTGTGCCTTGACAGTGAAGATAGGGCAGCGGAGGACATGCACAGTAAAAACAAAGGCTGAATATAAAACATTAGGTTCTGTGCAGTTCTAAATTTTAGGTCATGATACTTCACATTAAGCAGCAGTGAAAAATTACTTGGGGCATCAGTTTTCTCTGTGCTGTACTCTAACATGCGTAGTTCTGGTAATCCTTAACAAATAGGAAAAACAAATGTCTAAGAAGTCTGAATGTCCTGGTCTTCTGTAGGGTGATGTGTAGTTTATGAGCATATGCCCAAAATGTTTTAGCAGTTCAAACATCTTTGAAGTGTCACATTATATGAAGATTGAGCCTGATAAATACATAGGCAAAGTGATAACTTTTAGGTTGAAGCCTTCTTTTGAAACTAAAATTAATACAGTTACTGATGTAAACTTTGTGGGTTTTATACTTGCAGGGAAAGTTACAAAACAGAGAGGATCCATATGACTTCCCCAAGAACTATGACTCCAAGTTGGGTAATGTTGCTGTTAGCAGTGAGACTTCAACTGTATCAGCTAAAGCACCACCACCACCTGTTTCTGTGAAACCTGTTTTTGGGCGTCCCATTCTGAGAAACTCTCAGCCAGCAGTCCTGCCTGCAGAGGAAGAGGAGGAGGCAAAGTTGGAAGAGGAAGGAAACGAACAAGAAAATACTCCAAAATCAGTACTGAGGAAAGTAAAAATATTTGAGGAGATGGATCACAAGGCAAGGATGCAAAGAATGCAAGAGCTACAAGAGGCTCAGAATGCCAGGGTATGAAGAGATGCCTTTCCCCCTGTGCTTTGTGACCTATAGAACAGCCAGAGTCCTGAAAATGAAAATCATGCCTTTTGCATTGTGTTGCTTATGGAGGGAGAAGTTTGGGAAACCACACACAGAGACATACTCTCACTCATTGTGTGTATTTGTGTATAAAAAGAGGTCATATTTTAAGGTTTCCTGTTTTAACAGGTAAAAACCTGACTTCTAATAATTGTGTTGCTTTTGGCAATCCATTGTTCTCAAACGTGCTTTGAATTAGTACTCTAGCAAAAGAATATCAATAGGATATTACCAATTTGTGCTTTGTTTCAGATGTAGCAGTCTCCTGTTAGATTCTAGATCCAAATATAGGATCAAAAAAGAACAATTCTTTTCTTCTATTTTCTTTTAAAGCTTGAAATAGCCCAAAAGCATCCGGATATTTATGCTGTCCCTGTCAAAACACAGAAGTCAGAACAGAACTGGCCCCAGCCGATGAGGTAAGGTATATCCAGTTTCAAATATTCTGTCTCAATTCTTGACTTTGCTGGAAGGAGGAAAACTGATCTTGCCAATTTTTGTTCATACAAGTCATCCTGCCTTGGTATATTGTTTTGTTGTCATGCCTTAAAGATTGTCATAAAGGTGGGGCAGAATTTTAGCAAACTCTTCAGTGAACTCATTTCAGGATTTTTTTTTTTTTATTTCTTTTTTGTTAGTTTCTTTTTTGGCTTTTGGTTCTTTTGTGAGGAACCCGGTTTTTTTTCACTGAAATATTTGCAGAGACAGTTTTTTGCCCCAGTCAGAAGCTGGCTTGCATTCATGTTCTCTGATGTCTAGTCTACCTGTGCTAGATACTTGATGACTGTTACTCTATCCAAACAAATATTCTAATAACACTTAATTATGTAAATGCTTCTTCTTTACAGATATGTAGTGTGGCTAGGTAAGCTAAGGGTGAAAGTTGATACAGGTGACCCATCAAATCTCATGAAAGTAGTAGTCTTTCATTAAAATTCATTAAGTTCTGGATGGGTTGACCCACTGCACATTTGTAGGACTTGACACGTATGCAAGAGCTAACACACTGCATAATGGCTTTTGTCTTCTGTTCTTCAGAACTCTTAATTTTTTCTTGCATCTTTGCAATAGCCAATAGAAATGGAACTTTTCTTCTGTAGTGAGTCAAATGCTTTGATGTCACAGTAAATAATCTAAAATGCAAAGCTGGAAAACAGGTATTTTCTATATTTCTTGGCAGGTTCAGAAAAGCATTAATTTTTATATAGCATTGGAAGTTTTGTAAAAGTAATGAAAATTAATCTTTCACCACATTTGCAGAGTGTTTGCATGTAGAAATCGGTGTTGTTAGCTTTTTACAGGAGTTAATGATTGGCCTAGAAGGGAGTATTTAATCTCTGGGAGAAAGATGTAAGCAGAACACCATCTTTTTTTTGCAGAGCATGGGTTGATAAAATCATAGGTTTGAAACTGAGGAAATATGCTGCCTTGGCAGAATCTACTTTTCTATGTCTGCCTAATGTCCTGTCAAATGTGTATCATCATAGTGTATAAAAAGCAAAACTGTGAGTTATTTCTGTCCTGAGGGCCATGAGTGGAAAGGTTACCAATTTAAGAAATGTCACATAAGAAGTCTTTAGACTTTGAGACAGAAGACTGAAGATGCAAAAGAAGAAGGGGGCATAGAAAAAAATTCTGTGCAAAACTAATTAAGGGAGATGTCAGTTGGGGTTGTAGCAAGGCTGGAAACCTCTCTGCTCAGGGAATAGAGTACTGTCAAACTATTGATGTTTTAAACTATTGATATCTCAAATTTTAAACTGCACACACAGTGTGCTGTTTAAAATTTGAAATTTGGCATTTTTCCAGGTAGGTTGATCTGAGCATCATCCTCCAGCTTAATGGAAATAAGATGCCTCTCTAGATAGGTTTACCACAGTCACACAGTTTTTTATTGGCTAGAAGGGGTTTCATTTGCTCCATCATGTGGCCATAAAGCAGGTATTAAGCACAACTATTTTTTGGCTTTTCATAATGGAAATAGACACTATCTCTATCTCTTTCTCTTACTCTCTCATGTTCTGCTGTTAGCTCCAGGCCTCCAGAACCCCAGAAGGCTCCTGTTAGACCTTACCTGGAGAACCGTGTCAGCTACGGCAGCGATGCGGAGGAGGAGCAGTACCGCCGGCAGCTGGCAGACCACTCTAAGAAGGGCTATTACGGACAGGCATCCAGATACAGAGACACAGAATTGTAGGCTTGCTAGCATGTCCATGTCTAACACTCTTCTGAGGTTTCTTCCTTCGCAGCCAAAGTGGAACAGTAATTAGTCTTGAAAAGCTGTATTTTTACTGGGGGTGGTGTTAGAGGGTACGTTACTCAGCTCAGACATATCTATACACTGGAACTGGAAGAGTTCACTTTTTGGGGATATTATTTTGTCAGTGTCTATGAAAAGAAATCACTATTGCCTGAATGCTGTTGCCTGTTTTATAAGGACCAAATCCTTAAAGTTTGGCATCTTCATATTTTAATATAAGCCCCTCTTTTTCCTTTTTATTAATGCTGCCTTTTTGGACTGTTCTGCTATGTTATAAAAGTATGATCCCAGAGATACGCTTCTAATGCAATAGAACTAAATGTGAAAGTGTATTTGAAGAACAGTAAGTGCCTTTAACAAGAAGCATCTGAATCTGTTTGTTTTGACATGATACTTGGTGCAAAGCCATAACACACTAAAAAGGGGATTGACTGTTTTACCTATCTTAATTTTTTATCAGTTTCATGGTAACAATTTTCCTTGCATGTTATTTTTCTAAGTTCATATAGATGCATATGCTATATTCATAGATGCATATGCTATATTCAAAAATACTGACTGTACATATTAAAGGTGCAATTGAATGGGTGGTTGGAAAAGACCAGAATGTGCTTAAACAGAGAAAATGGTGTAGAAAATTCAGTCACATATTAAAATTTACACAGACTACAAATAATAAAGTATATATTCTAGACAAACTTCTAGTATCTCATTTTTATTTTCTACAGCATTAGTCTAGAATTGCAGACTTTCATGAGTACACTGTTTCAGTTCAGGATCTCCTCTCCTGTTCAGGTAACTGGGAAACATCGCTATTGATGTGCTTCACACTTTCTGAACATCATTTTAAAATCTGCTGTGATTTAAAACTGGTACAAAACAATGGAGTTCCTGCAAGGGACTTACTTCTAGAATATTAAATTTTGCCTCACCATTTGTGCTTTTTAGCCTTATACAATAAAATTCTTCAAGGTGGCATAAAGAAAAATTTCTTTTGATCATACAATACGAAAGATGGTTTTCTAATGGCCTTCCAGAAATAAAGTGCCTTCCAACCCCTAACCATTATATTCTATATTAGGACAATGTTCTTCACTGGGAGGGTGGTTCAGCACTGACTGGAACAGCTCCCCAGGGCAGCAGTCACAGCACCAGCCTGACAGAGTTCAAGAAGCACTGGGACAATGGTCTTAGGTATATGGTGATACTTGGGAATGGTCCTGTGAAGGTCCAGGAGCTGGACTCAGTGATCATTGTAGCTCCCTTCCAACTTGGGGAGTCCATGACTCTGTAACACTCTCTTAGAAAAGGTAGAATTTTCTTGTTGAAGCAGTAGGATGAGGAAACTTGTGCTGCTTAGATTAGAATAATTTAGATTGGAAAAGATCTCCAAGATCATCAAGTCCAGCCATAAATTGAAAAGTGCCAAATCCACCACTGAACTATGTCCATACCACACCTGCATGTCTTTTAAATTCCTACAAAGATGGTGACTCAGCCGCTTCACTTGGGCAGTTCTAATGCCTGACAGCTCTTTCTGTGAACAGATTTTTCCTAATGCCCAGTCCAAACCTCTCCTGGTGCAACTTGAGCCTATTTCCTCTTGTCCTGTCACTTGTTACCTGGGAGAAGAGGATGACCCCCACCTCACTACCAACCTCCTTGGCAGAGAGCCCCTGAGCCTCCTTTCCTCCAGGCTAAACACCCCCAGCCACTTCTCACAGGACTTGTGCTCCAGACCCTTCACCAGCTCCACTGCCCTTCTGTGGACCTCTGCTGCCTCAGTGTCTGTCCTGCAGTGAGATGACCGGCACTCGAGGTGTGGCCTCAGCAGTGCCAAGGACAGGGGGACAGTCTCGTGTGTGGTCCTGTTGGCCACGCCTGCTGATACAGGCCAGGATGCCATTGGCCTCACGTGGGCACAGCTGGCTCATATTCAGCTGCTGTTGACCAGCACCCCCAGGTCCTTTTGTGCTGGGCAGTTTTCCAGCCACTTTGTCCACAGCCTGTGGCACTGCTTAGGGTTGTTGTGACCCAGCATGAGGAGTGTTCACAAGGACAGGCTCTGACACTTCATCATGTTAAACCTCATACCACTGGCCTTGGCCCATTGATCCAGCCTGTCTAGAGCCCTCTGCAGAGCCTTTCTAACCTCAAAAAGATCAACACATGCCCAGCTTGGAGTCATCCACAACTGACTGAGTGGGGCACTTGATCCCTTTCCAGATCATTGATAAAGAGAATACCCATGTAACATAAGTATGTGATATAAATATACAGAACACATGAAATAGATCAATTTAAACAGTGTAAAACAGAGCTGAGGGGTCACTCCTAGAGAAGCTGTTTGAGCTGGGTCTGTACCGTGGCAACCAGAGTTTTTGCAGTAGCCAGGGCTGCTCCCGAGGTGGGGAGGCTCCTGGGGCGGCTGCCGGAGCCGCCCGGCCTCCAGGCGCAGCCCAGGTGGCGCGGGCATCGGGAGGGCCGGCGGGACGTGGTGCGGCAGGGTCGCAGCTCCCTCACCCGCTTCCCGGCCCCCACTCACTCAGGGATTGCCTGCCTCAATCACGATGAAGAGGCAGAATTTTATTGGATTAATGGGGAAACACTGACAAGTGATGAGGAAAGGGCTGAGCTACTGAGCTGCTCTTACTGTTCAGTAAGAGCAGTAGACCTCGGCCCCCTGAGCTGGAAAACAGGATCTTTATAAATTATAGAGTCAGTGAGTATTGAGTGCTGCTCAGCAGGTTTGCAGATTACATGAAACTGAGTGCTGCATGTGACACAAAAGCAAAAGAATGGGATATCATCCAGAGGAAACTGGACAAACCTAAGAAGTGGGCCCACAAGAACCCCATGTAGTTCAATAAGTCCAAGGTGCTGCACGTGGACCATGGCAATCACAAACACAAGTACAGAGTGGGAAGTGAACCCACTGAGAGTATCCCAACAGAGTGGGTTCTTGTGGCAGAAAACTTAAATAGGAGGTAACTGTGTGTACTTATAGCCCAGACAGCCAGATGTGTCCTGGGCTGCATCCAGAGCAGTGTGGGCAGCAGGGCCAGGGAGGGGATTCTGCCCCTCTGCTCTGCTCTGCTGAGACCCCCCTGCAGGGCTGCATCAGCTCTGGGGTCCCAGCACAGGAAGGACACGGAACTGTGAGAGAGAGTCCAGAGAAGGCCATGAAGATGATTAGAGGGATAGAGCAACTCTCCTATGAACAAAGGCTGAGCTAGCTGTGGTTGGTCAGCCTGGAGATTTTGGGGTGACCTTACAGCTCTCTCCTGTACCTAAAAGGAGGCTACAGAGAAGATGGAGAAGGACTTTCTACAAGGATATGTAGTGGTAGGACAAGAGGCAATGGCTTTAGGTTGAAGAAGGGTCATTTTAGATTAGATAGTAGGAAAAAAATCTTTACTGTGAGCATGGGGAGGCACTGGAACAGGCTGCTCAGAGAAGCTATGGATGGCACCCTAGCGATGTTCAAGGTTAGGTTAGATGAAGATCTGAGCAACCTAGTCGAGTGAAAGGTGTCCTTGCCCATGGCAAGGAGGGCTGGAACTAGATGATCACAGCATCATAGAATCAGTTACATTGGAAAAGATGTCTGAGATCATTGAGTCCAACCTTTGATCAAACACCACCTTGTCGTCTAGACCATGGCATCAGGGTTGCCATCCAGTTACTTCTTGAAATCACCAGGGATGGTGATTTTACCATCCCCCTGAGCAGTCCATTCCAATGCTTAACAACACTTTCCATGAAGAAATTCTTCCTGATGTCCAGCCTGAACCTGATCCTGTGTCCTCTTGCCCTGTCCCTAGAAGAGGCCAACCCCCACCTGGCCGCACCCTTTTTTCAGGCAGTGGTAGAGAGCAGTAAGGTCACCCCCAAGCCTCCTTTTCTCTAGGCTGAACACCTCCAGCTCCCTCAGACATTCCTCACTGGACTTACAAGGTCCTTTCCAGCCCAAACCATTCTATCACCTGTAAGAGAGAAGACTGGCACACATAGCTGTATGGAAAGCATAACAGAGGAAAGTATTTTCTTTTCACATGGGCTAGATGGGGAGGAAGCTGTCTTGTGCCAAGCCAAACCTATTCCAACTCCTTTGTTACAGATGGACTTTTTTAAATCAGTGTGTTTTCTGAATGGAGAAAAGAAACTAATATCTAGAGTAGATTAAATGTTTCAACACAGGGTAGTTATAAAAGGTCAAAAGAATACCATTTTATAGGAATGTTCTGTCTCAGTGCCCCATTTACCATCCTATACAAAGGTTAAATTTAGACTTTCCATTTGCCCTGGTGCCTGAGATAAAAGAACCATGGATAGCAAATATTAATTTAATTTCTCTATTGCATTATAAAATGTAATATAAAATTTCCATTAGAGAAGTAATTTACAACACTTTAAAGATGTTAGAAAGACAAAATTGTGCATATGTTTAGCTTCAGTCTTCTTATAATGAATACATACATAGCTAGATGATTGTTTAGGAGCAAATTTTTTTGGTGAATTGAAGACTAGATAACCTTTCCAAAATAATGATCTGCTAGATCTACTTGGAAACACAGCTGTGTTTTGTCAGCTCTTTTCCTCATTTAATTCCAGTTTAGAGTGGTTGGTCTGTGCTTCACCCACAGGCAGAGAAATAAACAGCAATCTGTACTGCAGCTTCATATCACTCATTTACTCCTTCCAGTCATTATTTTTAATTAATTGTTTGTTCCTGAACGAGCAGTAAAGGTAGATGATTAGAGTAAATTGTGTCCTGAATCATGCAATGTCACTGCTGTGTTTTGCTCAGTGCAGTAATCAAAAAAGTGTCTGACCAAGGAGGAACAATTTATCGTTACTAGACAAACACACACACACAAACAAAACCAGACAGAAACCAAACCCTGGTGGACTAAGTCAAGTGTAACTGTTCTGTGAGAAAGCATAGACAACATGTTTAAACAGACAAGAGAATAAGACACCTGGACCTACTCAATCTTCTTAAGAAATAACGAAGAGACCAGCTTCTATTTTTAACTCTGTGACACTCCATGTGGTGTCCTAAGATCTTCACTAAGAAGGAAACCTGGACAAAACTATTTTGCAAGAGGAAAGAAAGAACTTGTGTGTCTGGGAGATATAATAAATATTACAAAGTTTATCTGTTTAGATCACTGCGACAATTAAACTCATATAATGATTACAGTTTTGGGAAAATACTTGTGTATAATTTATGGAAATTGCTGTAGTATTAGGGAATAATTTTCTTGAAGCACATAGGTTTTTAATTAATTTCTGATGCACTTCTGTTTTCAAAGTAATAAATATTCCCAGTAAGTGGAAACGTTTAATCTTATGTTACGCTTTTTGCATCCCACTCTGATTGTTGTTACTCTTTGTTGTCATAGGGGATACATTTTTCCTGACGCTGGCAGTACATCCAGTCCAAGTTCTCTTAGGCAACTTTTTAAAGCCTCCCAAATACCTACATGCTGAACATGAAGGAAGCTATAAAGCAGTATCATCAATCTGCTTGGAGTGACAACCAGATTGGGAATGAAGCCAACCACATAGCAGAAGGTCCAACAACAGAACAAAAAATACTGTATGAATAAGGCCTAGAGCCATGAGATATGTCATAAAGGGAGGACTGTGGGCAGGATGGCTTGCTGATGGGGAGACAGGTCATCAGGAGGATTGTAGCTGACCCTTACTGCCACACTTGGTCAGGTGAAAATGGGAGTGACACCAAAGTGTCCCTTTTGTGTTATGTTCCACCCTTGCACAAGACCCACTGGTTTTGTAATTTCTCTCTGTATCCTTCATTAACATATGCACTGGCTGCTCTCTGTCTGCACTTACGCTGGCAGTAACTGTATTTGGCTGCACTCTCACGTTCACTTCTCCCATATGTATAGACTGTACTTGAAATCCTTCATGGAGGATGAGAACATGAGCACTTTGCACGCAAGTCAATGGGCTTGTTCCTGTCTCCTCCCTAAAGCAGGGATACCTCTTAGGCAAGATTTGATCCCCAGATGTGTCAGAGTGCCCCTGGGAACACTTGTACATAGCACTGTACACTTGTTTCATGTCTAGTGAATCTATCTCTGGAAATCTAACAATAAGCAGTAACTTGATGCCCCAGTAAATGGAACTATTGGTGAATCTGGGTTTAAAAGTTCTTATTCAAGTCAGCCAGACTGTGTTGAATCCTTGAACTGCACTATTTGTGACTCTGTGATCACAAGTGGTGCCAGACCAGACTTACGGTGTAACCCACACCATTGGTGTCTCTGGGATCTCATTGAATGTCACTGGACTTAGACCAACAAGTTGGTTCTAATCAGAAATTAAGCTCAGGTGCACCTAGCCCCTCTCTTCTCTGGGGACCACCTGGGAACCAAGGGGATTTATTTTTCTACCAGTCTTCCATACTTTTTATACAAAAATTACACAGCCAAGTCTCGGACTAAGAAAACAGTTTATCTGACCTCTTCATCCAGACAATATGACTTAGAGACTATTGCCTTTCTCTTCACAGGAGACAGGGGGGACAACAAAATAGCAGTTTAAGACCAGCTTTCACTAAAAAAAAAATCAAAAGCAAGGGGCAGATATCCCAAAGTACTATGATAATCCTAACTGCCTCAATTACATGGGAAAGCAAAGAGGTGAATTGTACTTTTTGTCCTCCTTATTCATTCTCTTCCCATTTATTGTCAAAATTCAGACCTGTACTCAAGTGACATTGATAATAATTATTGCTCAGTTACTCATATGAGGGAAAAAGAGTATTTCATTCAAGTACCTAACTTCTTCCCATGTCAGTGTCTTTGTATTTGCAAGGCGTTTATTGTGTCTGAGATCATGGCTTCATTTAATTATCAGTGTTTATGTATCAAAATCCACATATTAATGCACATTTTTACACACATACACACACACACACACACACACACACACACACACACACACACACACAGACACACACACTCCCTAATGATATGTATCCATAAAAAATAAAAGTGAGGAAAAACAAAACATTTTTCCTAAAAGAACATTGGTAGAGAAAGCTTAATGGAAGCTTGGAAGTATAAATCATATTATAGGAGACAAGATGGCAGTGGCATTCAGCAGGTCCCTGACCAATCACTGAAAATATGACTTTATTTCAGCATATTCTTCCACTGCTAGAATATTAAGAAAACAAGTGTTTCTGAGACTCTTTATTTTGAATTCTGATTATACATCCTATAGAATTTTAATAGTAGAGAGAATTAATAATCCAACATATATATAAATATTCTAATATCCAGCTGAAATAAAAACAAAGTAGCAAAACAAAACAAAACAAAAGACTATGAAGTCATAAAGCAGAAAATGAAAGTGCTGCAAAAGCATGGACAGGGGGGAAAACCTTAAAAACCAACAAATGATGAAAGAAAACTTCTCCTACAGAATAATTAAATGTCAAAATTTTGAAGAAATGGGAGTCTACAAATAACTTCAAAGCAACCAGCATAGCACGCAGAGTTTACACACAGGAAAGAAGGAACATTAGAGCTTGTCCTTACCATGAATACTTTTGGCTTGATACAAATTGGCCTCATACTGTCAGGCACCACCATCATCTCCAGTCTTCAGTGCAACCACCTCCCTTTGCAGCAAAGAAAAGTGATTGAGAACAGCCTGCGACTCTTGGATAAAATGGGAAAAGAGTTTCCCCAACAATGTCTAAGAGAGAAAAAGTCCTTCAGATTTCCTGCACAGGTTCTGCAGCCCAGGCAGAAAGAGGCTGTTGGAGTTGCCATTGAAGAGATCTTCCAACATATCTTTTATATCTTTAGCAAAAATCTGACTCTAGCTGCTTGGGATGGAACAGTATTGGATCAGTTCCAAAATGGACTTTATCTGCAAATTGAGCAATTGGAGGCATGTGTAATTGAAAAGCACACCCAACATTGTTGGAGTAAAGACGTCAGCAGGCTGAAATTGAAAAAGTACTTCCAAAAAATAGACTGTTTTCTTAAAGATAAACAACACGACTTGTGCTCTTGGGAGATCAGCCGTGCAGAAATGAGAAAATGTCTCCAACTGATTGATAAAGTGACAAGGAAGCTTAAAAACTAAGGTACAAATATATTAACCTCACATAATTTACAATATTAATAATAAAATATTATAAATAACTTTTATTATTTGTTCTATGATCTATCTTGTGGCAGTGCTGTAGTTAATTTTTATTGTATTTAAATTATGCTTCTGAAATTTAATTTTGCAAATGTAATGCATTATTCAAAGTAACGTAATTTGTTTACTTGGTAAGTAAGCTGTCTACTCTATCTATAAATTAATCTATAAGAATTTTCAGTGAGGGTTACTCCCTATGAAGATATTGTGGCCTTTGACAGATAGTGACATCTTATGGTGTTTTCTGCTGAGAAATATGCAAATACTTTCCATCTCTATTTCACCTACAAGCAGAGAATCACATATTTGTGAATGAACTACACATCTCATGCCTTACAGGAATTACTAGATTTGTACTGATGCAGAATGCATCAAAGATAAAGTAATACACTGCTTATTTAAGTGATCCTGACTTAGGTTGAGAATATGCATTTTTTTATTTGAGAGTTTGTTCCTCTTTTCCAAGCAACTAATTTTTTTTACATTTGTGTAATTCCAACATTTGCTTTGTTCAAAAATGTAAAATAATTCTAGAAAGATTTGTCTACATAGTACATTTTTCACTGTAGTTATGGCTTTTGAAGTAACTTCCCCATTGGACAGTGTTACTTTTAATTGAAATACATTGCCTCTAACTGTTTGGGGACAAGGGTTTTATTCCTTCCTGCAGTGTTTCCAATTCACTTCTATTTTTTCATAAGATTATTTGAAGTAACTTTTCTATGTAAAAGTATCCTAAAGCCACATCTGTCTGTGGCACATTGTACTTGCTCATGGATATATTAATCCTGGCTACTGCAACCTCAAACACCACCACCCAGTGCTGTGCTTTATTGCTGCATGAAATATGCCTCTTTCCCTTTGCTCACAAATTGACCCATACAGAAGTATAGCCCTCCAATTAATTTCCCCTCCAAACCACACAACCTTCAGTAATAATTACAATATAATCACATTTCTTAAAACAGCTTGCAATAAAACTAAGCCTGGATTTTACCCTTGGGAAACTGTCCCTGGGTAACTCCATTTCAAACAGTGTGCTTTCCCTAATCACTTGCTATGAGGGGAACAGAGGTATATCAAGTCTCTTTTACCCAAAGAACAGAGTTTAAAATTTGGTAAAACCCCAAAAACTTTAAAACAAACCACAAACAAATATCTATCTGTGGCCATCCTGATGTACATTTGGCACAAGCTTCTGGATCTGGCATAAAGAAGCAGAGGAGAGAGGATATCTGTAGGTCCCAAAAGAGGGTGGTGTTAGTCCTGGAGGGCTGAAACTGCCAGAGGTTGGTTTATGCATCAGGTAAAGAGAAACTTTAAAGCTGCTTCTGATCTCCAGCCATTCTGAAAAGTATTGAAAGGGGAGATAATAAAAAGTGTATCTAAGAAAAAACTGACTGGTACGAACAGCAGTGACGGTGCAGGGGTTTCAGGTGTCGTGTCTATGACACAGGTCTCTTTTGCAGGGTGTCCGTACTCTCCTCTCTACCACTGATGGATGCTAGGTAAAGGAGAGATGGCAGACATGGATCTCATGGATGAAGCTGAAATACCAGAAATAAAAACAGATAGCAACTTCACCATAATCCAGAACAACAAAAAGACCAAAGAAAACCAGAGTAAATTATCAGAATAATTTTTACACCCTGCCACATTACAACAAAATATGTATTTCTTTGCTGCATAACTAACAGCACTTGAAATGGACCCACCCTGGGACTGTTTCAAATTTCATTTCTGTTACTTGTTTGTTATATGTACTTCTCCAAACCTGTACAATAAAATTACATTCAGCCTACTTACCCTTTTGGTTCTGATATCTTTGGGTGGTTATTGCAATGCAGAAAACTGTTACTGAAATGGTTGCACTTTTATAGAAATTTGGAAATAGTATGAAATATTTTTCAGCTGCTCTCTTGCCAGGGATTCCAGTTTTTATTGCCTTGTCTGCAATTAAAACATGTTAATTTATGGCCCACTAATTGTTCAGAAACTTTTGTATTATTATGTTTTCTTTTTAATTCATAGCTGTCCTAAATATCTCCTTATCAAACAAAAATTTGTTTTGACGTATTTCAGTCAACATAGTACTTTGCAGTGTGGACAAAAATCAGAATGGGCACTAGAGGGCAAAGTGAAATTAGAGACAAATGTAAGAATTTTAGGTCGATGTACATGTGTTTTGGCAGTACAGCGTTTCAGATCTTTATGAGCATGCTTATCAATAAAGTGCTGTTGGTTCACAGAAGGGAACTGAAAGAAAAATTAACTATTCTTGAAAAAAACAAGAAGATCTCAGAGGTGATGGACAGGAGCTCATAAAGCAACACTTGATTTCATTACTTTTTGGCCAGCTGTGAGGCAAAAAATTATTTGTATTGAGACAATATCTAGAAGACATTTAAGTATAGGGGCCCTGGAATAGTCATAGTACAAATAAAAAGGAAAAAGAAAATTGCAAGCTAATATGCCTTTGTTTCATTCTTACTTTCAAGAAAGGTAAGTATTCTTAAATGTAAGGTAAGAAAGATGGAGATTCAGAAGATCATTTCTCTTCATCTTGCCCTTGCAGCATTTTGGAGTAATATATATTTATTTGCCATTGTGTTACCAGGGGAGCTGTGTACTATGCCCGCGGCTAGCTAAAACTTTCTGGTATTTCTTCCAGTTATTATTTTTCTAGAAGTTAGATGAGGCAAATAGATTACATTCTTTTGAAATGGAAATTAATAAAACAGTAGATGCGAAGTCTCAAATCCTCATGGAAAATTTAGCATCTATGAAACAAAATCCTTCCAAGAAGGGACTGATTGTAAGCCAAGAAGCTTCATAAATTTTTCTACAAGGCTCACACACCAGTGCTGTGCAGCACGGGTCCCGGTCACAGCCATAGCTGTTCTCACAGCACCTTGTTTATCTGTGTTGTGCTGGGCTTACCTGTGTTGCACTTTTGGGGACGCTAAAAATGGCAAGTTTTCATTTATGCAGAGTTAGTTTTCCGGCATGGATTTATGTGGCTAGGGTCAAAAGCCTTGTCTTCCACATGAATTTTAAGAATAGCTGCAGCAGAAGTGAAGAATGCTTATTCCAGACTTTATTTTGGAAAAAATTATTCACAAAGCTCAGTCAACTATCAACTACAGCTGTTCAGAGCATTTTGTCCACGCGTTTGGCTTGTTCCATCAGTTCCGACTTAATTTTTAAATTGTATAAATAAAAAAAAAAAAAGCAAACCCAAACCAGAAGACAATCCCAAAGCAGGACAAAAGCCTGTGGAAATTACTCGCCAGTCACCCAGGATTAGATCTGGTTGCTTGTTCTTCAGAGCAGCCCTGGGGTAGTTACAGGGGTGGCTGTGGTGGAGCAGGCAGACCCACACCAAGGCTGGGGCTGTGGGCAGGAAAAGGGATCAGGAACTGCTCATGGGAAGACAATGCCCACAAACTGCTACATCCTGCCGGTCCTCATTCCTTCCACTCCAGTCTGTCCCTCGTCAGGGATAGCCCTAATCTATTTTCCCCCTCCAGTTGTGAAGGAACACTGGGTTCTTCCAGGGAGCAATCAGAGGAAGACTAAGAAATGAGGGTGACAAAGATACAGAGTAAATCCTAAAATAAAGTGTCTGTTCTCAGTTTTAACTGACAGAGAATTTGCTTAAGAAATTTAATGAAAAGCAAAGCAATATGAACAAAACAAGTAAGATTGTAATTGATAATTTCTAACAAAGTGATTGCTTTTTAATATTCAAAAATCTTCTAGTCCTCATATAGGCAGGTATGAGTCATTTGTACCAAAATTTCCCACACTTCTGACATCATGATATCCTCAGGAAGGTGCAAAGGCTTTTTCAATTTTGTGCTCCCAGAGGAGCAATCATCTGTCAGGGAATGTGAAGACAATCTTTCTTCCCAACCTTCACCCTTCCTAGTACCACAACCCAGCCTGCAAACTAGAGGGAAACTGCAGTGCTGCTGTGGGGCCACATCTCTGCAGCCACACACTGTCAACCCCATGATGCTTCCAAACACCATCCAGGCTCTTCAGTAGCTGTGTCCTGAATTAATTATTTTTCTCTCTGACTTCAAAACTGAAAATCCCATTTCATGTGAACTGGTTTAATTTCAGTGGAGGGGAGGAAGAAGTAACTGCAAGTGATGAGCAGATGAGCACAGGGAAATCCATGTGCTGCCTCAGTTCTCTACATGAGGCTGCAAGGATGGTGCATTTTCTAGGACCAACCTTGCTGAGCCCAAGTGTTCACAGTAAGAATTCTAAAACCACGTTATCTTCATCAATGAGGAATTCAGTGTTCTAAGCAAAAAATACCATCTGCTTTTGAACACATAAAAATAAACACAATTAACACTCCCTTCTAAAAAATAACTGTTAAAGCATGGAAGTGAATTTGCAAAGTCAAAATCCACACTCAGCAGATGAAGTACTGAGATTTCAAATAGCATTATCTGGCCCCTGCACACCAATTACCAACACATCTACTCACTGTAACTTTCACTGTCTACACTATTCCTTAAGTTTCTTATCTTGGTAGACCAGAACCTGCACAATTTCCTCTGGATTTAATTGGAGTACTGTTTGTTACAATTCCCAGAAAGGAAATATCTTGACAGATATATTTATATAAAATAGAAAGCTTTCCTTCAACAAAGTAATAAAGCCTATCTGACTTAAACTATTTTTCAAAATGTTGCTCTCTCTTCAATCAATTAGCATACTTTCTTTTAAAGTCTTTTTGGATTGACTTGTACTCCGTTCTGGTCTCCATTTTTTGGGAAAAGCCTGCACTGGACATAACAGTCTTTTTCTTGAGATTATAATATTTTAATAACTAAAAATAAGTTCTTGCTGCCTGCCATATAACTCAGAGTGTTATCCTTGTGACAAATATTAAATCCAGTCAGTGCTACTCACTTATACAT